GCCCGCAGAACCCACCTTGAGGGTCGGGTACTCCTGCACCTTCAGGGTCATGGACAGCTGGGCAGCCGACTCCTGCACCGCCATCTTGAATCGGCCAAAACAGTAGCGGGCGGAGGGGCAGCGCCGCGCGGCACGCCGGGTAGTGACGTCGCGGGGCGGGGTGGGGCGGGCCCAGGCGTCTGCACCAATCGCTTCCGCCCACCGGCCTGGCGGCGGAAGAAGGCGCGGCCGCGGCGTGCGCGCCGAGAGGCGTCCGGTCCAACCAATCACCGCCGACCTTCCCTCGTTAGGCCAATCAGCGTGAAGCCCGGCTGGGTCGTTCCCTCCTTGAACTCGCGGCCGGGCGGGACGGCCTCTCGGGCCCGGCCGAGGACCGTGAGGGGCATGGTTGTGGGGCACCTGGGTTCCTGCGGGGCCCCTCGAGGCAGTGACCCCCCCCCGTGGCAGTGACCCCTGGAGGCGGTGACCCCTCCTGGCAGTGACCCATCGAAGCAGTGACCCCTCGAGGCGGTGACTCCCTGTGGCAGAGACCCCTCATGGCAGTGACCCCCCTGTGGCAGTGGCCCCGTGGCATTGGTCCCCGGTGGTAGTGTGGCCACGTCTGCAGGCCCCCGTGCCTGCCAGCCGACTGCTCTCCGCTGGGCCGTCCCGCGTGCAGCCCGGACTCCAGTGGGAGAGCAGAGGCCGAGCGCTTAAACCACTTACGGGAAAGCAGCCCCCGCAGCGGACCAAGGGCTGTGTGTGGCCCCGCACCTAGCGCCGCATTCTTCTCCTTTCAGATGCGACTGGTCCTTCGATTCCCTTGTTTAAATAGAAATGAAATTAGGTTTCATTAATTAGAAGACTTCCACATTAAACCATCTCTTGTGTTTCACATTTCACGCTCATTTCTGAAAGAATTCTTAAAAAAAAAATAAAGTCTAGCGTTGGAAAAAACCCCTAAGACGACACAAGGGAAGCCGCTGTCCCCGGAGTGGGAGCAGCCAGCTCCCAGGACGGCAGAACCACGAGGGTGAGAAGCAACTTCCCGTGCTAATGAAGCAAGTTCCTGTCCCGGATCATGTCCACGTGGCTGGATTCGTCGAGACAATCAGGCGCTCACAGCTCCACGCTAATCGGGCTGCTTCCTGTTGGTGAGCAGACAGCGTGGTGAGCGTGTCCACGCCCAGGTCTCAAGTGTGTGAAAGTGCGGCTGAAGATGGGCTCCTGTGTGGGGTACCTCTCAGGAGACTTTGGAAGGAAATTGTTGGTATGAGGCTAGAAAAATGCACCTATTCTAGAATTTTTTAAACCCTTAGGAAGGAAAAAAAGGGATGTTCCCCACTGAGATGGGTCAGTTCATCTAATCACAGATCATCAGAACAGTGTTCCTGCCTAAGTTTCAGGAAGTTGTTTTTGTAGTTCAAGCAGAAAAGCTGAGCTCGAAATGAGCACACACAGCTTTGGAAAACTATATTATTTAACCTAGGCTCTCTTGTTTTCAAATTTCGGAAGTTTAAGAATAAAATACTTTGCATTCTAAGTTGCCAATGAAATAGACCCTCGAGTAATTGAATGCACTTTCCCCAATAGGATCTTGCAATCTGAGCACTCAGAGAGACATTAAGTTTCTCTCTAGGTTCATAGAACCAGCCAACTTTTTTTTTTTAATTGAGATATATTTGACATTCAACACTGTGTGTAAGTTTAAGGTGTAAGAGGTATTGATTTGACACATTTATACTGCAAGATGATTGCCATAGTAGTGTTACCTAACACCTCTATTGCGTCACATAGTTATCATTTCTTCTAGTGTTAAGAACTATTAAGATCTGGTCACTTAGCAAGTTTGTTTATAATACAGTTTTGTTGTCTATAATCACTATGCCATGCATTAGATATCCAGGACTTATTTATCTACTAGTTGCAAGTATGTACCCTTAAACAACATCTCTCCCATTCCCCCACCCCCTAGCCCCTGGTAACCAGCATTTTACTCTCTGCTTTTACAATTTCAGCTTTTTTAGATTCCACATATAGGGAATATCACACAGTATTTGTCTTTCTCTGACTGACTTATCTCACTTAGCATAATGTCCTCAAGGTCCATCCATGTTGTTGCAAATGGCAAAACTTCCTTTTCTCTCATGGCAGAATAATAGTCCTTTGTATATATATACCACATCTTCTTTATCCATTCATCCATTGACAGGCACTTAGGTTGTTTCCATATCTTGGCTACTGTGAATAATGCTGCAGTGAATATAGGAATGCACATGTGTCTTTGATAATCTGTTTTCATTTCCATCGGATAAATACCAAGAAGTGGGACTGTGGGATCATACGATATTTCCATTTTTAATTTTTTTTTAAATTTATCTTTTTTCCCCAAAGCCCCAGTAGATAGTTGTATGTCATAGCTGCACATCCCTCTAGCTGCTGCATGTGGGACGCGGCCTCAGCATGGCCGGAGAAGCGGCACATCGGTGCGCGCCCGGGACCCAAACCCAGGCCGCCAGGAGCGGAGCACGCGCACTTAACCGCTAAGCCACGGGGCCGGCCCAACCATTTTTAATTTTTGAGGAACCTCCATATTGTTTTCCATAGTGGCTGCACCAATTTACATTCCTACCAACAGTGCACAAGGGTTCCCTTTTCTCCACGTCCTCGCCAGCACTTGTTTCTTGTCTTTTTGATAAAGCTGTTTTGACAGGTGTGAGGAGATAGCTCACCATGGATTTTATTTGCATTTCCCTGATGGTTAGTGATGTTGAGCACCTTTTCATGTGCCTGTTTGCCATTTGTATATCTTCTTTAGAGAAACGTCTAAGTCCTTTGCCCATCTTTTAATTGGGCTATTTGTTTTTTTTGTTATTGAGTTGTATGAATTCTTCATAGATTTTGGATATTAACCCCTTATGTGACACAAGGTTTACAAAACTTTTCTCCCATTCTGTAGGTTGCCTTTTCATTTTGTTGATTGCTTCTTTTGCAGTGCAGAAGCTTTTAAGTTTGATGTAATCTCACTTACTGATTTTTCTTTTGTTGTTTGTCCTTTTGGTGTCATATCAAAAAAAATCATTGCCAAGACCAATGTTGAGGAGCTTCTTCCCTATGTTTTCTTCTAGGAGTTTTAGGGTTTCAGGTCTTATGTTTAAGTCTGATGCATTTCAAGTTAATTTTTGTGAGAGGAGTATGATGGAGGTCCAGTTTCATTCTTCTGCATGTGGTTGTCCCAGCACCATTTGTGGAAGAGACTATCCTTTCCCTACTAGATGTTCTGGCTCCCTTGTCAAATATTAGTTGACTGTATATGCAGAGGTTTAATTCTGGGCTCTCTTTTCTGTTCCATTGGTCCACGTGTCTATTTTTATGCCAGTATGACACTGTTTTAATTCTATAGCTTTGCAGTATAGCTTCCAATCACAGCCAACTTTTTATAGACGGATTCTACTCAACTAGAGAAATCTTCTTAAGAGGATCTTTAAGCATAAATTGTCAAGCAAGGCCTCCCCAAAATGCCTTGGGTATTTGGGTAGCAGGGTAAATGGGGATGTGTGAGAAAACTCAGAGCTGCTGCTCAAGGTTCTCGATCCTTAGAGAAGTGCACCCCAAGGGGACACTCTTGCGTGTTGAGAAGGTCTTCCTGGGTCTGTTCTACAGACATAGAATGCACACAGCCAAACACCACTGCCCCACAGGAACCTTGAATAAGTTATAAATGTTGTCTAGTTTCTTAAAAGGCCCAGAGAAAAAACGAGTGGCATTTATTCTGTTTTGGATTTTCTCTGATCTCAGAGCTCAGACTTGAGCCGCTCTGAGAAAGGAACAAGCAGTTGTGTCAGCTTCATTCCTGAGGACGGTGTAGACAGCTCAGAACACTGAGACCAAAAGCATTAATGTTCAGATGCACTCCCTCGGCCTTTTGTCTTACGCTATAGGTGATCTGTGTTTTATGTTAACTGTGGGGAAAATATGTCCTTAAAGCTCTTATATTTTTATATAAGTATTATACTTATATAAATCTTATATTTATATTTATCTTATATTTCAGTTATCCCTTTTAGGTCAAACACAAAATTCCCTACTCTAAGTGCCCGTCAATTGTGAAGAAAACACAGCAAAAGGAGACATGTGCTTTTCACAGATATTAAAGTCAAGAGTTAGACATCTTCCACGCCCAAGCTAAGGTGAGTGACGCGTGCCCCCTCCACCTGCTGGAGTCACGATCTGTTCTTCCTGTGGGAGTGCCACAGAAGGTCACAGCGAGGCCACTTCAGACTCTGTACCTAGCAGGTCACAGCTCACGCTTGTGTACTTATGCATGTGGAATATCTGTGTGTTAGTGGACATTCTTTACACTAATGGAGGTGGAGGGAAGCAACGTTACTGCAAATGTGCCCTCGACCCCAGCCTCCCACCACCTGCTCCTCCTGCTGCGTGCATCTGTCACATGGCTCGTGTTTAATGTGTACACTTTTACACGATGTAAACAGTGAATCAGCCTGTCTTGTGTATATTGTACACTTCATTATATCTGACATTCTTGTAACTACTGTGTGACCAATAAGTTCCTATAAGATACAGCTTTTTGTTTTCTTGTTTTCTGTGAGGAAGATGAGCCCTGTGCTAACATCTGTTACCAATCCTCCTCTTTTTGCTGAGGAAGACTAGCCCTGAGATAACATCCACGCCCACCTTCCTCTGTTTTATATGGGATGCCACCACAGCATGGCTTGACAAGCGGTGTGTTGGTCCGCACCTGGGATCCGCACCCACGAACCCTGGTCTGCTGAAGCGGAGCGCACGCACTCAACCGCTATACCACCAGGCTGCCCCAAGCAATACTGCTTTTTAAAAAACAAAAATACCCCACTGAGAGGGATGACATATCCCACATTTTGGTGGTGGTCACTTTATATATAGGATCTTTAACACAAGTACTTTTTTTTTTTAGAGAGGATTCTGGGAAGATGGTGGAGCACCTATGAAGTGAGAATCTGTCTCCCCACCCGGACAACCACTGCACTAGCAGAATCTGTCTGATGTGACTATTTTAGAACTCTGGAGTCTATTGAAGGCTTGCAACTTCCAGGGGAAGTCTTGGACAATAAAAGTGGTTAATTTTTCAATTTCAGCTC